ATAGTGCCCATCATTGGTGTCAGTGGGAGGAATAGTGCCCCATCATTGGTGTCAGTGGGAGGAATAGTGCCCCATCATTGGTGTCAGTGGGAGGAATAGTGCCCCATCATTGGTGTCAGTGGGAGGAATAGCGCCCCATCATTGGTGTCAGTGGGCGGAATAGCGCCCCATCATTGGTGTCAGTGGGAGGAATAAGCGCCCCATCATTGGTGTCAGTGGGAGGAATAGTGCCCCATCATTGGTGTCAGTGGGAGGAATATGTGCCCCATCATTGGTGTCAGTGAGGATGGAATAGTGCCCCATCATTGGTGTCAGTGGGAGGAATAGTGCCCCATCATTGGTGTCAGTGGGGGGAATAGTGCCCCATCATTGGTGTCAGCCAGTGGGAGGAATAGTGTCCCCCATCATTGGTGTCAGTGGGAGGAATAGTGCCCCATCATTGGTGTCAGTGGGAGGAATATTGCCCCATCATTGGTGTCAGTGGGAGGAATAGTGCCGCCATCATTGGTGTCAGTGGGAGGAATAGTATCCCATCATTGGTGTCAGTGGAAGGAATAGTGCTCTATCGTTGATGTCAGTGGAAGGATAATGAAAGGGGGAGATGATTGTAGATCCGAGGATGACCATAGGGTCATTGTTTTCTTGCTGATTTTTCGTTTCTTCTCTGGAAATCCATTTCCTCTTCTTTGCTGCTGATGTGGAAAATTACTTCTCAGGAATAATTCTCAAGAAAATGGAAATGTAGACAAATAAATAGTTTTGTGTCCACTTGCCGACCAGTCATGTTACTCATGGTAACATCCCGGGTCTTCAGGGGGTTGTAGGGGGGTGGTGCCCGGGAGGAATCCCCCGGGACTGGTTCTTAGAGCCCACCGTCGGCTTTCTTGGAATAGTAATCAGATTTAGTGGACTGACTAGCTGCTGGATTGCTATAACGCCCCTCCCCCGCAGCCTTCTCCATGACTTCAATGGGAGCTCCTGTCCCACTGGGAGTCTCCATCTTCCTTCCAGGCTGGTGATGGAGCCGAGTGAAGACCGGATCAGCTTTGTTCGGCTCCATTAAATAATAAACTGGAAGTGATGACCTGACGCCACTTCTGGGTACTCGGTCTTGCTGGGATTTGAATGCTTTTTAGGGCAGAGGATGGATCTGGGGTCTTATAGACACCAGGTCCCTCCATAAAGAGGACCTGTCACTGCCTACAACTTCTCAGGCACCACCCTACTACCCACCCTAGACGGCACCAGGTGCTTCTGCCCCCAGCATCAAATGTCCTTCACACCTCTCACACTGGAGCCTGCCCCGCTCACTTTCATTGGCCCATCCACCTGTCCCCCATCTGATGGGGAAGGGAGACCTGGGAATAAAGGAAGGTCCATGCTGGTTGGTGGACATCAGTACACAGGGTGGATGGCAGTTGGGGAATTTGAGATGCTAGGTGTACAGTGGGGATGGAAAGTTTGGGCACCCCAGCTAAAAATGTGTATTAATGTGCATAAAGAAGCCAAGGAAAGATGGAAAAATCTCCAAAAGGCATCAAATTACAGATTAGACATTCTTATAATATGTCAACAAAAAAGTTAGATTTCATTTCCATCATTTACACTTTCAAAATAACAGAAAACAAAAAAATGGCGTCTGCAAAAGTTTGGGCCCCTGCAGAATTTAAAGCACGCACTGCACTGCCCCCTTTGCCAAGCTGAGACCTGCCAGTGTCATGGGGATTTGTTCTCAATCATCGTCTGGAGGAAGACCAGGTGATGTCAATCTCAAAGGTTTTAAATGCCCCGACTCATCTGACCTTGCCCCAACAATCAGCACCATGGGTTCTTCTAAGCAGATTGTCTAGCCCCAACAAAACTGAAACTGAAAATAGTTTGACAGCTCACAAAGCTGGAGAAGGCTATAAGAAGATAGCAAAGCGTTTTCAGATGTCAATATCCTCTGTTCGGAATGTCATTAAGAAATGGCAGTCATCAGGAACAGTGGAAGTTAAAGCAAGATCTGGAAGACCAAGAAAAATATCAGACAAACAGCTCGCAGGATTGTGAGAAAAAACAATTCAAAACCCACATTTGACGTGCACGATCCCTCCAGAAAGATCTGGAGACACTGGAGTTTGTGGTCACTATTCCACTATAAAGAGATACTTGTACAAATATGGTCTTCATGGAAGAGTCATCAGAAGAAAACCTCTTCTACGTCCTCACACAAAAATCAATCGTTTGATCACTTTGCAAATGAACATCATAAGACAAGCCTGATGCATTTTTGGAAACAAGTTTCTGTGGACCGATGAGGTTAAAATTGAAACTTTTTGGCCGGAATGAGCAAAGGTAAATCGTTTGGAGAAGAAGGGGCACAGAATTGAATGAAAAGAACCTCTGTCCAACTGTGAAGCATGGGTTGGATCAATCATGCTTTGGGGTTGTGTTGCAGCCAGTGGCACAGGGAACATCTCACGAGTAGAAGGAAAAATGGATTCAATAAAATTTCAGCAAATTTTGGATGGTGACTTGATGCCATCTGTGAAAAAGCAGCTGAAGTTAAAGAGAGGATGGCTTCTACAAATGGATAATGATCCTAAACACACCTGGAAATCCACGGTCCACGGGGATTACATCAAGAGGGTGTAAACTGAAGGTTTTGCCATGGGCCTTCACAATCTCCTGACCTGTGCAACATCATTGAAAATCTATGGATAGACCTTAAAAGAGCCGTGCTGACAGACAGCCCAGAAATCTCAAAGAACTGGAAGACTTTTGTAAGGAAGAATGGGCAAAGATACCTCAAACAAGAACTGAAAGACTCTTGGCTGGCTACAAAAAGCGTTTACAAGCCAGTGATACTTGCCAAAGGGGGCAGTACAAGATATTAACTCTGCAGGGGGCCCAAACTTTTGCAGACGCCATTTTTTGTTTTCTGTTATTTTGAAAGTGTAAATGATGGAAATAAAATCTAACTTTTGTTGACATATTATAAGAATGTCTAATCTGTAATTTGATGCCTTTTGGAGATTTTTTTCCATCTTTCCTTGGCTACACTTTTTGCACATTAATACACATTTTTAGCTGGGGTGCCCAAACTTTCCATCACCACTGTATAGGAGGGGCAGTCTGGACTTCTCACTGCACAGCAGTGCAGAAGGGGATGGAAGCTTTGGGGAACTCGGTTCTCCTATAACGTCATGCAGTCTACGGGTGAACAGCTGCCTGATTGGACCTTGGTGCCCCCATAACCTTCACGGCCATCTTGGGTCAGGGCAGAGTCTATTTAAGGGAACTGGTTTCCTGGGTTTGGCAAGCATTCTCCGAGTGGTCAAAGTAGGGACAAGTTCCTCGTCTGTCTTTGTCCTATCATGGCCTACCACTCTGGTCACCATCTTCAAACGTTGACAAGATAACGCGTGTGTCCTGAATCAGGAACCACTGTTGTGATGATGGTCCGGTGCTGCTGATGCAGTCGCTGCAGTATGGCCGTGGGGTGAGTGGTTTTGGTGGGTGGGTTAACTGACTTGGGGTGGAAGTTTCAACGCGGGTATTGCACTGCAAGCGGTTGGCAAGCAGCCAGGAGGACACTTAGTGGCTCTGACTGAGCTAAAGTAGCTGCACATTCTTCTGGCCTGCTGAAGGACATCCTGAAGGCCAGGGAACCTAACCAGGAACCCTCAAACCACCACATTCAGAAGATGTGTCAGCCAAGGTACGTGTGTGAGCTCTCACTGCCGAAGGCAGCCAGCAAGTTGGTGGCCAACCAACCTGGCCTAGCACATGCTGGCATGGTGTCGGCCACCTCTCAGCCTGGCCAAGCTTGAAGAACCTTCAGAGTCTATGGCCCAGTGTGGCTCCTGCCCCCAGGCCTACCAGCTGAAAAACCGTGTTCCTGCCCATACTTGCCACACCATGTGTCTGTGGTCATGTGGACCCTGACGCTGACAGAGTGGTCCAGCGAAACAGAGGCATTACCGCGCACATGCTAGTGGAGGGCAGGCGTGGTCTTCTGGGCAAAAAGTGGAGACTGGGAACCTGCCTTGGTGGTGCAGCACAGGCCATACATATGTGGCAAAAAGGGCAAGACCTGAAACTTATACAAGTGAATTCATTTGCAGCTCATGGACGGGGAGAGGGGACTTGGCTTTTTTACCTTGGGTGTGTTCAGGGACCCTCTAGACGAGTGAAGGCCTTTACTACCTACCTTTCTTATAGGGGTGTTGCTCCTCGCTCCACTATTTAGGGCATTGTCATATGTTTCCTACCTCATGCATGTGGTACCCTCATCCTAAGGTACAAACTGTCCAGTCACAGGTCAGAGAGGTGGCATGAGAGGAGGAAACCCGTTACAAGAGGGGGAGTCCCAGAGTCCAACAACCAATGACAGGGGAGGTGAGTAGTCCCGATCCAGGCCAAGTCCTCACACCCGTTCCCAACTCTTCCCACCTAAGGGAGAGCTCAAGAAACTGCCTGCATGTTGCACTGGTACAGTCCACCACCCGACCCGGAGGTCCAGGCAGATTACTGCCAACACATCAAGAACTACCTATGGTGCCCTCTACTGGCCGGACAATTCCTGAGCCCCCCTGACTAGACGGCTATTGGGGACATTTAGTGGCCCAGTAGGATATTTACAATGGCCCCCTCTGTGCCCGACACTAACCTGCTCCTCAGACCCCCGATGAGTTGCAGCAAGATTGCCAATTTCTGTTCTTCTGTCCCATGTACAGCGGTGGATTCTGAGGTTTTCTGCTGCCCTAGGAAAGACTAAAATCAGGTCCCCCCATCTACATTTGCCCCCCCCCATCTACATTTGTCCCACCCCCTTTCTCTTTAGGTTCCACCCTTCCTATTAGAGACTCCACTTCAGGAGTTGGTGAGAGACTGCGGACATAGTACAGGAGATGACCAGAGACTGCGGACACAGTACAGGAGATGACCAGAGACTGCAGACAACAGTACAGTGTAGATGACCGGAGACTGCAGACACAGTACAGGAGATGACCGGAGACTGCGGACATAGTACAGGAGATGACCAGGAGACTGACCGCGGACACAGTGCAGGAGATTGACCAGAGACTGCGGACATAGTACAGGAGGTGACCAGAGACAGCGGACACAGTACAGGATAGATGACCAGAGACTGCAGACAATAATACAGAGAGAATGACCAGAGACTGCGGACATAGTGCAGGAGATGACCAGGAGACTGCGGACATAATACAGGAGATGACCAGAGACTGCGGACACAGTACAGGAGGTGACCAGAGACTGCGGACTAACAGTACATTGCGGAGATAAGGGGACCAGAAGACTGCAGACACAGTACAGGAGATGGACCAGAGACTGCAGACATAGTGCAGGAAGATGATTCCAGAGGACTGCGGACCCCGACCCCCCAAAAACCAGGTACTGCAAGGGGGGGGTGGATGACCAGGAGACTGCGGACACAGTACAGGAGATGACCAAGAGACTGGCGGACATACTTCAGGCGTTATGACCAGAGACTGCAGACATGAGTGACCTGAGAGACTGCAGAGACATGCAGACACAGTCAAGGAGATGACTTCATCAGACTGCGGACACAGTGCAGGAGATTGAACCTGAGAGACTGCGGATATAGTGCAGGAAGTATTCGATCCAGAATACTCGCGACTTAGTCACAGGGAGATGAACCAGAGACTGCAGACACAATACATATAAGATTGACCAGAGACTCGCTGGATCACAGTACAAAGGAGGATGACCATGAGACTGCATGACATCTTACAGGAGATGACCAGTATTCAGACTGCAGACACGGTACTTCTGGAGATGACCAGAGGACTGCGGGACAACAGTTATAGGAGTTGACCAGAGACTGCGGGACACAGTACATGGAGATGACCAGAGACTGCAGACACAGTCAGGAGATGACCAGAGACTGCAGACACAGTACAGGGAGATGACCAGAGACTGCAGAATAGTACAGGAGATGACCAGAGACTGCGGATATAGTACAGGAGAATGACCAGAGACTGCGGATATAGTCAGGAGATCCCAAAACGCGGGCAATACGAAATGACCAGAGACTGCGACAAATACGGAGAAGAAAAAACTGCGGACAATACAGGGATGACCAGACTGCGGGGCATTTACGGAGATGACCAGAGACTGCGACAAGTACAGGGGATGCCAGAACTGCGGACCAAGGTACAGGGGAAAGACCCGAGACTGCGGACAAATACAGGGGATGACCAGAGACTTGGGACACCTACAGGGGATGACCAAGACTGGACAATACAGAGATACCAAAAACTGCGGAAAGTACAGGGATGACCAAGACTGCGGGCAAAACAGGAGATGACCAAGACTGGGCCGACAT